TTATTTGTAAACCGAGACAGGCTATTGAAAAATTAGCTGATGTTACAGGGGTTTCAACAACCTCATTGTAGGGTCAAAATTTCGTAAATTTTATATTTCTTATCACTGGGTTGTATTTTGACTGACATATTTCATGCAAATTGTGAGGCATTTGTTTTGATACTATATTTCCGTCTACTTGATCAAAACATACGGCTGAAGACGGTTTTACCAATTAACAGAGGATATTGTTTATAGGTTTTTGAGATTGATCAGTTTTTTGCTCTCCTCGCCTTTTTTAATTTTCAATAAATCGTTCCTTAACATTTTTATGTTAAAAAATCTCGCTGTCGCAAGAATCTTAAAGAAAACATTTAATGCCACATTGTTAATAGTTAAGTTCAAACAGATGAAAATTTAGCATTCATTATATTGTTGTATGTATTCACAATATTATCAATTCACATGCATTTTTCCTTCTCGTGGAAGAGCTTAGATATTTTTTTGCATTATCTTAGCTTTCAAACAAAAACATCTTGATTTGTTAACGTTGTATACTTAAGGCACACGCGCATGCGTAAGATATATGCTTCTATGATCAGAAAGCTAAGCGAATTCCATGAATTTATTGACAAGATTTACCATAAATACCTAAACTGCACACGAACCGCGAAAGATGGTAGATCTAGATAATATTTATATAGTTTATTTATATTTCCTATGCAATCTATGCAATCGCACACGGTTCATAACACTACAAATGCCGTATTAACCGGAGGATCAGTCCGCTGGCAGCAGCGATGACAGAGTATAGATATCCGATAAACAGATCGTGACTCTGTTACAGTGGGTTAAAGACGCCCTGTTTGTATGGTTTCGAGAATTTAGAAGGAAGGGTCTAAATATTAATTTAGAAGAAGTAAATGTTTTCTACGTACTTGTTTTATAAATTTTCGGCATAAAAACAGGATAGTTTTCTGAATCGCTAAATCATAAATTACTTTGGTATTTATTTACTACATGACTTCTCTTCATTTTTATTGCTGAAGTTAAAGATATGAAAAATTTAAATAAGGTGTCATAAATTTACTATTTAAACAATGAACTTTCCCTGTCTTGTTTTCGTGAACCATTGGCGTTATTGCCATTGGACCCAAGAAAATTGTTTATATCAGAATGTCACGTTATTTTAAATGCTTTCCATATAATTTCTTACTTTTTGGATGTTTAGTGTTTTATTTCATTTGTGAAACGGTTAGAGGTATTTCTTCTTCTTAAGTATTTTATTTATGATATTTACTGCATTTCTGATGTATGAATTGTGTAAACATTCTACATATAAAGGACTACTGTAAACCAATTATTATTCGCGTCATCTTTTATTCGCGATTCTTCAGTTTAAATCATTTCGCGACGATTAATTTTCGCGACTGAGGTAACATTCTCTACAAATACAAAGTAACATAATTGGTTCTCGGCGATTAATATTCGCGAGTCAAAGTAGGTAGCGAAACTTGCGGATATTTCTCGCAAGCGAATAAAAGTTGGTTTACAGTATGTAAAAATAGCATTGATTTCATAGAATGTAAAATGCTTGGTTACTCCTTGGATGCTGTCTATGATATCTTCCAAGTGAGCGAATCAAATCTTGCTACAACTGAGCTTTTGTGTTGCCTTACGTTAGAGCAGATGTAACACACAGACTTACATCATTTAGACTAATTAAGCCACTAGTTCATAAATATTTTTCCTGAATATTCTGTAGCTTTCAGATTGATGTATTATTTTAATTATAAGATTTTGTACTTTGAATAGTTTAGAATTTTAAAGGCATAATTCTATGCATTCAAAAGAAATTATAAATGACATATACTTCGCAATGTGTCACTATCCTTGAAACACTGCACAGGTAAGTTAAGGCCACATTCAGTAAATCTACTTCCCTATACAATAAGACGTCATAGTAGGTTATATGACCTGAACTTTACAGATAAGGATTTCTTGATATCTATGTTTAAAAATCTATTTCACGTCCTAGAATTGAATCGAAACATGCAAAAAATGATATTAACTAAATCTTGCAATTATTGGATTGTATTAATAGTAAATATTTGTCATGGGAGTTAAATGCCTGACCCAAGCCGTCATAACTGCTGATCAAATATTTGCCGAGTAACAAGGAAACATGACAAAATTGTTGTAAACAAATATATGAAATGGGAGTTAGAAAGCATATACCGTAAATATCATGTGTGATTCATAAGGAATTAAAGATAAAGTATCAGGTACGCTGATCTATTTTTATCATTTCTCTTATACTGAAGACATTCGGTGTTTTGAAATCTCAATCAGCCTTTCCTCTGTCCTTCATAACAACAAAGATGCAAAGGTTCAACACTATGCAGCATACTTAGAAACACAATTATTGCTTATATTGAAAGTCTGTATTCTACAGTATTTGGAAAGTGCTGCTAGAATCGTGTGGTTAACATGAATTGATAAAACTTCTTCGATCAAATGTAAAAAAAAAGTGGGTAAGATTTCATACGAAAGAGTGGAATAATTATTTATGTGACTTGAGAGTAAGATTCTTGCAGCACTTTTCATGCCCCAGAGATGTTTTTACATAATTAATTTCACAAAAACTAATGAATTATCCCCATGTTAGTGTTGAATTTTTAACTTTTTTCATTAAACCATTTGTTATATTTTTAGATTTAACATGACAATCTTATTTTAGCTTATCTATAAAATGTATGTTTCCCATTTGTTTATTGGTTTAACGTCCCATTTGAGAATTTTTCACACATGGAGGCGCCACCACTTGCTGGTGGAGGGTTGCAAATTTAGACCTACACTCGGCACTCAGGGTCATTGAGCAGTGAGGGATCTTTTTCGAGCCAGCACCTACTGCGACACGTGACTTCGGTTTATACGGTCTCATCCGAAGGACCGGTCTCCACTTCCCGCAGTTGGATTCGAACCTTCGACGTAAGGATCAACTCCTTACACCGCGACTCCTGTACAAAAGCTCTAACCACTACGCCACACGGGCGACTGTATAAAATGAATAATAAATGTAAATAATTTTTCATAACTTTTCCGATTTATCAATGTTACATTTTACCAAAAAAGTGTAAATTTGCAGAATAATGATCAGGGTGCCGCCTTAAAACACCTGCGTGACTTACAAAATCAGATGTCAAGATACAAGCAAAATAAAGTGGAAATAATTTACCTATCAAAATTAAAACAATCGTTAATTTTTTTTTCATTTGCAGGATTTGATAAAAAATATGAGTATAGCACATAAATATGAACTTAAATAACGTCTCCCTTTTTTATCCTTAGAGAAAGGATTGCTATCTACAGTTGAGAGTTTGCAAATGAACAGGACATTTCCAAGAAAGACGCATAATTCAGGTATGCTTTGATGGAAAATGAAATATTTAATATATCTGTTCAAGATTCAAACTTGGCAACACGATACATATGTGTACAATCGAGTTTCGTTAATACGGATGTCAATAGTCCGAACGCTTTTCCTTTTGGGCGAAGTTTATGGGGAGCAATTATTATATATCAAGTACTGTGGAGTATGATTCAGTATTCCAGATGCTTCATTTATCCAGATGTCCGGATTGACAAGGCTTTACTGTGCGGTCTTATGTTAGGGAAAATATCACACCTGGATTCTAACATTTGGACTAATCATGTCACTAGTTAAAACAATTGTTCTGCAATTGCTGTAACTTTCACATAGATGTATTGATTTTACTATTTCACTTTGTTCATTGAATAGTTTAGGATTTAAACGGGATACTTATGTGTGTTTAAAAATATTTTAAATGACACATAATTTGAAATGAGTCGGTAATGTGAAATCATTTGTGGGGTCAATGTTCGTTGGCTAGCAAGTTGTTCTGGTTCATGGGAACGTGATTACGTTGGTAACTCTTGTAAAGACAAAGTTTTGGGGATATAAACTCGTGGGTTTAGGTGTCCTACAAAATCCACGAACATTGGTCCACCGCAAATAACGATGATTGATCAATTGATTGATTGTATGATGTTTAACGTCCCTCTCGAGAATTTTTCACTCATATGGAGACGCAACCACTTGCCGGTAGAGGGCAACAAATTTTGATCTATACTTGGCACTCAGGGCCAATGAGCAGTGAGGGATCTTTTTCGTGCCAGCACCTACTGCGACACGGGACCTCAATTTATACGGTCTCATCCGATGGACCGGTCTCCACGTCCCACAGTGGGATTCGAACTTGCAACGTAAGGATCAACTGCTTACTCCGCGACTCTAGAGCAGACGCTCTAACCAGTTTCTAACCACGCAGGCGACAACGATGAATGAAACACAGACATAGAAATTCAGATTAAGATATCTAACTGTAATCCTGTTATGCCTGCTAACAGTGGAGATACCGATCATTAGTAATATATCAAAAAATAAGGAAATTAAAAAGTTCTAGTGTTTTTGACATTTGAAGTATGTGAAAAACAAAATAACTGGAAAGAACAATTTACATATATAAATAAGGACAACCGCAGGTTGCAGGATTGAATAAAAAAATTGACTAAAGTACATAAATATAAACTTTGTATAAATAACGACTCCCTTTTTTATCATTAGAGAAAGGATTGCTATCTACAGTTGAGAGCTTGCAAATGAACAGGACATTTCCAAGAAAGATGCATAAATCAGGTATGCATTGATGGATAAGGAAATATTTAATATATCTGTTCAAGATTCATGCAAACATGTATACAGCGGAGCCTCCTTAATCTGGATGTCAACAATCTGAATGCTCCACCTTCTGGATGAAGTGTGGAGGGGGGGGGGCAATTAATATATACGAAGTACATTTCATTAATCAAGATGCATCATTAATTCAGACGATTTGCTCAGGAATACACACATCCGGCAAACCACAAATGAGATACAATATTTAAAATTTGATTATTTTACACAGATATGTATAATGCAAGTAATAATGATAATAATACAAGTGACAAGGCGCAGATGAGGCTGGTTTTGGGGTATATGAGAGGAGGAACCACTCTAACAGCTGACCTTATACGTCACACGGAGGGGGACTTCTACATGTTTGAACCATTACACGCATTGTCTCAGGCAGTTAGATGGAACAATACAACAAAGTTTCTAAATGGTACAGAGAGGTAATTTTATCTATCAAGAAATGTATTTTTCTTTGGCAGACTTTTATATATTTTAGCCTATTTAGGCTATTCTAATGCACAAAGGTAAGAAGTTTAGAATGGAAGTTATGCAAAATTAACAATGACGGCCATACGTTTATTAAGTGTTTTGATGTTATTAAGGAATTAACATCAAATATTTATAAATAAAAAAAAATAATTTGAAGGGAACACAACTTTAATCGACAATTTATGTTTGATAACCATAATAAAAGATATACATAGAATAAAACGAATGAATAGTCCAACCGATATTAATTTAATGTTGTTTCCTTTTATTACAGGACGATTCTAAAAGAGAGACTTGAATATGTTTATCCCGAAATGATTTATTACTGGTTTACGTGTAACTTCGATCATATTGATCTGACTGCCTTAACAGATCCTTTTATAGCAATACATACACCAGAACATAAAGACTACTATAAATGTTTTGAAGATAATATGAAAGAAAACAAAAGTGTTATTGAAAGTGTAAAAGATTGCGTTGACTTTTTGAGTATACGATGTTCAACAGCAAAGACTAGGACGATAAAGACTGTTCGTTTGTCAATGTTAATGGCGGGAAAACTCTTAAAATGGCTGCCAAATCTGAAAATTACTTATTTAATACGAGACCCCCGAGGAATCTTAAATTCGCAATTTGAGCAACACGTGACCGAAGAAAATGATACGATTGCAACTATCAAAAAAGTGTGTAATACTATTTCGACAGACTTTACAAACTTTAAATACTTAGAGCTTTGCTATAAAAACAGAATGCTGATTATTATTTACGAAAACCTGTGTCAGTATCCAAGCATACTTGTACCAAAAATATATAAGTTTTTAAATGTTGAGTTTACGAATGAGACAGGAAATTATGTCAAACGGATTATGAATGGACCCGCTAGAAAATGTCACTATTGTACAGATCGAGGGGATGCTCTAGGAAATGCTTACAGGTGGATCCGTGATATTGAAGAAAAGACATTATTAGACATTGATCTTCATTGTTCATTTTTGTATTCACACTTCGGGTATCAACATCTAGAATATGATAAATTGAATTCAACGAAGGCTTCATGGGAGCCTACAGGATAAAGAAGAATGCAAATATACCAAATTGGAAAGGTGGTTTTAACTTTTTCACACAATATTTAAAATACTTTACATTTCTAAAAAAAAAAAAAGAAAATAAAATAAAGCTACCGTAACAAAAAATACTATAGTTAACTTTAGTTTACCATAGTATAAAAGTTTTTTTTTTACTATAGTAAATTGAAGTATTTTTACTATGGATTTCAAATTCTTATTTTTTTTTTGGCACACGCACATTTTTTTCAAATTAAATGGAAGTGATATTTTGTATATTTACATATTATTTCCTAATTTTGCATAACTGTTATCGAATTTAAGAGATTTTTAAGCTTTGAAATCTCAAAAAAAGTTTCAGAGTAAAGTTTCATAGTATATCAAAGTATCAAAGTTTTCATTATAGTTAGCATTAGTAAACTATTGTAAATTTTTGTTGGGATATCACAAAGAAGTCCAGTAAACTCAGGGAAGATGTAGGTGTAGCGTCAAACTAATTGCAACAGTAATTATTTTTTGATGAATGGCATCAAACAGATACAAAACAAATGAAGGGTAGGCATATTTTGGCACGCCAAAGTACGTTAGCATGATTTATTAACCTTTGAGAAATACTATGAAAAGGAGCATAACTCCATATATATATCCATCCAATGTTTTGCTGAAGTAAAGGGTATTTCCAGTTTTTCACCATATGTCAATCTGTTTAAAAATCTTGATACAGTGTAACTGATGATAACTTTACATATATATAATATAAATTCGAATTGGATGCTTGAATTTAAAATTTTATTTTTAATAGAAAGTCAATGCAAATCCTGTAGGGTCCGTCACGGTAGCTCAGTCGGTAGAGTGCTCACTCCGTGATCTGAAGTTTCTGGGTCCAAGAACTAGGTCGATAAAAATAGTTAATTACACAGATTCTTGGTTCCTTGTATCAGAATACTTTTTTGGAAAAAGTGCTCTGATATTTTTAAAATTTCTAAAGCTGTGTCAATTCTCTTAAGGCCAATGCATGATTTAAAAGTTGGTTAACCTATGATAAAAGTTGGTGTAAATTGTATTTTTCGAAAATCAAAAAAGATACAAAACTGTCACAGGTTTCTAGGAATATAATTTTCTCATCGTCATATGCAGCCATGCAGTCGAGCTGGTCTTGAATGAATATTTGTTGAAATTAATATTGCTGTATTGAAAATTTACTATTATAACACGTAGATAAGTTTCTCTTTGTGAAATAACCTGCTCTTTGTGCAACCCATTCAATATATGTACACGAATATATTGACTCAATGCAAAAAGCCACCATATTAGAAGGCCAAGATTGTTAGTCTGTGTTACTTCTGAAATGAAACAGAGGTTATATGAAAGACTTCATCTTCGATTTTTTTCTCGTTCACTTTTTGATAAATCGACCTTTAATATTCTGTTATACCTGTCCTCTTCTATATTGTAAACTGTTCACACATCAAACGTTTATTGTACCATAAATCCATGTCTACATCAGTTCAAGAACCCATTGTATGACCCTTTAAATCATTCCATGAATATTTCGAATGTAAATAAACAATGATAAAAACTTCATGATCTGTCAATATATCAATGGTTAAAGGTCATAAGAAACAGTACTTAACACTAGGATTTTATGTTTTGAGCATAAAGCTTAGTACTTATGGGAAAAAAAAAATGTTAAATTACGTGTAGTAAAATTTTTTTGCTCTTTGCTTTTTCACTTAATAAATATGTTAAAGTAAAACGTAAAACTTAAAACTTTTTTTTCCTATTGATACATCTACAAAAAGTGCCAAGAGGATTTTGACGTTAAAAACATCAAAATCCTCTTCTCACTTTTTGTAGATGTATCAATTATCCTGCTCTCTTTTAATTTGTTGTACCGTTGTACCATCTTTGTGACATGCTGTTTCTTCTTATGTTGTATATAGATCATGCCTTTTGCCGTGCCATTTTTGAAACACAATGTTTTGTAGTCCTGTTATTTTTCTATGATGCTGTCTTTCACCATGCTCTTGTCTTAGCGACATGCTCTATTTTCATTTATTAATGCATCTTAAGGGTAATAATATTTTTAAAGTTCTTTTTTTTGTTTCATACTTTGATCATTTTAGGTTCATATAACATGACGCCTTTAAATAAGTTATAATTTATCTGACGTCTTCACTTAGTTATTCAACAACTACTGTTGCATAAAGTATAAATTGCTAAAATATACAAAGCATAGGAGTTTTTTTAAGCGTGTCCACTTACATGTAAAAGAATTTATCTCACATACAAATCATGTTTTCTTGATCTGTTTTTCTAATGTGTTTACTTTTCAAAGCATAGTTGCAAAATAACAAGATATAAAAGACGTTAAAGGACACCGTGGGTTCAACTGATTGATCTTCGAAATTATCGATTTTTTTTTTCACAATTCACAAGTTTCTCCAGAAGGCCCCAGGGATACAGACCTCTGCCTTGTACCCAAATATGAAACCTTATATACAGATATTTTCAGGCCTTGAAGTGTGAAGGGTTTTTGAGTGAACAACGAACAGAAATACAACTCGCTGTAAGATAATAATGTACAAAATATATTTACAATTTTATTTGTCTAGTAATGCGACATGGAAATAATTTTTTGGGCATATCAACATACTACATGTAAATGTTGTTAAAATGGATTTTTCAAATTGAAAAAAAAAACAACAACAACAAATCATCATAAAGTGGATATAAAGACATTAAAATTTAAAAGGGTTGTCTTTCTGGCTAAGTGTTATGTCATGTATTGCTATTAAAAAGTACTTTTAGCAAAAAAAAAAAAAAAAAAAAAAAAAAAAAAAAAAAAAAAAAGACAAAGAACAAATGGGTTTCTCTTTATTTTATTTTTTTCGTCTCTTTAATCTTGTCTTGTATAATAAATGGTTAATACATTAGTATTATTACACAAAACGTAGTGAAATTAATGTTATTATACTACACATAGTGGAATCAATGTTATTACAATGCATTTGTGAAATTAATGATATGATATAAAATGTAAAAATGCACATTTGTGTTATTTCAGTTTGTCTGATTTTCCATTTCTTGTAGTATCTAATACGTATTTATCATTTGCCGAGTATTTCAAAATATTTCCTATCCCAATCAAGTGCACTTTTGTCTGAATCTGAGAGAGAGAGAGAGAGAGAGAGAGAGAGAGATGTAAAATTACTTTCTGCCAGAAGTACGAAGCAAATAAATGAAATATGGAGATAACGAACAGTAATCAAGCTTAAAGTCTAATCAAACAATAGAAATTGAGAACAAAGCAAATACGGACCTCCAACAACGCAGAGTTGGGGTAAGGTGCCATGGAGGAGGGAACATCCCCTGCCAACCAGTCTCATCCGCCGTGTACTTCTGGTCATTATCGGAAAAAAAAAAACAGAAAAATCTGTAGACGATAAAGTGTGCAAATATTGGCCTAACAATTAGTATGAAAAACGTCAGTCCCCATTTGATTTAATGATAGGTTGTATTTGGTGACAAGGTCATAGTAACGACCATGAAACTTGCAAAATGATGACTTCAAATGAGACAGCTGATATCCTTGTTTCAATAACTTCTTTGTCAATAGCTTGCCTCGTTTTAGAAATTGTTCAAAGATAAAGCATGCTCTTGCGTATCGAATCAACTGAGAGACATAAACCCAATTTACTGGTGATAAGGGTTTGCTACATGCAAGGGCTGTTCGGAAATTATTGAAAGATTTTGTACCCTTACTCCATAAAGGAAAGAGATAAATTCATGAAAATTCGTCAACATTTTTAATCAAGATCAAATGAAACAAATGTGCAAAATTTCTTATTATTAAAGATAGATATTGATAACTAGATAAGTTCCCGTGAAATCATATACTAGCATATGTTTTTTAACCCAATGACACCCAATTCCAATTTTTATAGAGGTCCGTGTTTGCTTTACTCCCGATTTGTTCTGTTTCAATGGACTTGAGAGCTTGATTACTGTTCGTTATCTCAATATTTAATTTATCAAATTTACCAATGATATTGGTGCAAAAGGTAAAAGGAAAAATCATCTGAATTTGCTGAAGCATTTAATGAAATAAAAGGTAGATGAAGGAATTTGACTCTTCAATCATGTTAATTTTATTCTGCAGTAATCGATAACGCTACAATATTGAAAGTGTGATATGCTATCTAGTACGCAGTCTTAGATTTGTGCAGTTAGAAGAGGTAAGCTTTCTCTTGACTCTCTGGCTCTGTCACACTATTCAAGTACTATTCATAAGAAGCATCAAAATCAGAAAGTGATGTTTATAAATACATATGCTAGTTCAATCCTTGTATCAGAGATAGTGTACTCTTACAACCACATTGAGAAAAAAAATAGATTACACTGCTATTTTGACGATGGCTAGAAACGTTTTTAATAATTTTATGCTGTTTGATAAAAGTAATGTTACAAATCGAAATAGATGTACCAATAACGGTATGTTTTCATTTTTTCTTTATTGCGGACTTAATTTATATCTATAATGCCTATTCAAGGACTTATTTTCTGAAGTTTGTGAGTGTTATTGCTAATGCCTACATGAGAAATCTGTTTGATCTACAGACCAATAACACTCACAAACTAAAAAAAAAAAACAAATCTGTTATTAAGGTCACAATTTATATTTAAAAAATACACTCAGTTAAAATTTTTACAATTTTCATCATACAAACACATGTATAACAAAGTGCATGTTAGTATGGGAAAACAAAAATAAGTACCGGAATATAGGTTAGCATGTGTTAAAGTGATTCTTTACACACCATTCAAGCTTAACCTTTTTTTGTCATCTGACATAAATATTTGTAATCTTTAACATCGCGATGTATAAGACTCTTTTGTTTCATAAATGGAACTTTAAATTTGAGGAATTAAGCTATGATGAAGACATGTTTTGCTTACGAGGAATAAACTGTGTTCACCTAAAGGGCAGTTTTCTGTGTATTGGTTTCTTCTTCATTTACATTTTATATGACACGATCCGAGGTAATTAGTTTTCAATGTTAATTAGTCTTCTTTTCGCAAGGTTTACAGAACAGGTTATGTATTAGATAATAAACCACTTCATTATAAGATAAAAACCGATTTTTAAGCTTATAGTTATTGTAAAGGCTACATTATTTTTATTCAAATCACTTGCTTTGAAATATCGCTTATTTTGAAATATAAAAATAAATTCTGTCTTTGTTTGTCTTATCTTTGTATTAAATTTCGGCTAAATTTAAAACGCTTATATTGAATTATTCCATGTTTTGAAATAAATCAAGTTTCTGTTGAGCTGATAATGAGTGGTAATAGAGGTTCAAATGAATAAAAATAGTGAAATCCTTTAACATAATATCAGTCTTCGTTACTTCGTTTTGTATTTCTTTCTAAAAATGCAAACTTTCTACAATATTTTGATCCAGATCGCATCACTGTTCAAAATCTCACTGTCTCATGAATTAAAAGGAAAAGAAGCAATGCAACATATAAATATATTAGTTGAAACAGACGTCTGTAGCATTTGTGCTGTTGTTTTAGGTTTTCATACACTGTATATTTCCTTCTCATGGAAAAAAAAACTTATGGATTTTATTTTGTCAGATCTGGCTTTTTAAATTGTTTAATTGTTTAATTTGTATATGTTGACTAATTAAGAAATATGTACTTCTATGTTCAAATGCTTAAGCAAACTGCAGAATTGATGGATACCATTTTTTTTCCAGCGAAGTTGACTTGAGTCTTTACATATTTGGAACATAAGATTTTGTAACTGAGAAACTTAAATAGTCATAAATATGTAAACCAATCTGATTGAGAAATATATTCTAAAATAATGTATCAGGTTTGCAAAAAAGATTTTAAAGTATCGTGTCGTACAAACAAATAATTCTTACGGCTTTTTATTCTGACAGAACGATGCTAAGTTTAGATATTTATTCTAAAATAGTAGTGTACATGACAGATACAGTATAGATATTGCATGGGTTTTAAAAGATCGTGACTCTGACACTTGCGTAAAATCCGACTATATTTATTTCGAGGTAGGATTTGAAGGAATGGTTTAAGATCTTTAAAAATAACATTTTCTACGTTCATGTTTATGTATTTTTGGCAATAAAAAGGATATGTTCTGTTTTGCTAAATCATTAGTATGTTGCGAGTAAATTTGACAGCTGCAAGAAAGTTTTAGTTTTATAGAAGAACACATAGCAATAATGAAAATCTTGATTTTAAGGAAAACAGTTTATAAAAGAAATATTCAATTCAAACGAGTTATTTTGCAATTATTCGATTACACGTATTTCTTTATAAGTTTTTGTATTATCTTAAAGAGAATATATTCGTAACACAATTTTTTTCCCAATAATCATGGTTATAAAATATATTTCAATTTTCAAGTTTAAGGCAAAATTGCTTATCCTTAAGATATGTCTTATAGTGATTCGAAACATTTGAAGATTATATGTCCATAAAAGAAGCTTCACATCATTAATGATATACATGTAAAGTGTGTATCATTGCCATCAGGCCCGTAGAACGCGGGGGAAAGAAAGCATCTTTTTCGGAGTATAATATTTTGCTTTATTAAACATTCCTTTAGATGCTCCCCCCAACATTTTGCTGCTGTAAGACCAAGCACTAGCAAATTCCAGGATTTGGACAGTTATTTATTAATATTTACATTTGCAAATGTTTCCCTTATATAACACTATTGAAAGCAACGCGTATCTATATCCGTATAAACATTGGTTCCTCGCGTCATAAACGTTCTGCGTAATTTCTCAGTGACGTCATAAAAGGTCGACGCGCAAACAATGGATCAAATACGTGCCGTTGAATTTGAAAAATAAAACATTTCACGCGTTAAAGATTATAATCAGGAAAATATAAAATATGAATAAGTCATAAATGTAAATATAAGTAATAATGTATCATTTTTAAACATCTATCAGATATAAATACGGGTTGGTACGAGATCAAATTTACCATAAAGCCCTTCGGGTCTCGTGACCAACCCGTATTTATATCCCGATAGATGTTTAAAAATGATACATTATTTCTTAATTATTATTATTATTATATTTTTGCTTGTTAGATTTTCTTGGACGTAGGTGCCACCACTTTTGAGACCGTTGTCACGGGCCTGGCTGTAATGAGACAATAGTCTTATTTTTCAATTACCGTGTCAAACATGTTTATACGTGTCTGGTTCTAATGAAAACTTTTTTGTTTTATTATAAATTAAGAATTTGCTTACATGGATGTAAGGAACGAATTACTGTATAATTACCCATACATAACCTTTGATTTTTGTTTCGGTTAATGAGATAATTTGACTCGTTCCTACCTCTGAATGAGCATTATAGCTGTCTTAATATATTATGTATTTTCTTCCTGCTTTGAGTTCTTTTGAAACAATTTTACTTTCTTAATCTGGTTTATCTCCACGTGCTTATTGAAAGATAACATCTATTTACATATGTAATTATTAATGTTGGACGAGTATAAAAGCATGAAAGAATCACTGGCAATGAAATCTGTGTTTGTTTCCCCAGCTAATTACCGAAGCATCGCGTGATGCTTCTATTGTAATGATTGTTCTCAGCAGATATTTGTTTCCATAATTCTAAAAGGTGTCGAATTCTTCTATTCAGCGTCCCAAAAAGAGAAAAGAAATCATTGTATGTGTGAAAATAGTTAGCAGGGAATAAAAGTGAACAATGACCCTTTATCATTATTCCACTTTATTAGAGTTAATATTCTACTTTGAAATGGCATGCCGTCGTGCATCAAATTATTTTTAACATTAGTTTTATTTCTACTTATTTATTAGAACTATTTGATACCACCCGTCCTACGAGCGTTGTTAGAAAAGCAAATATCGACCTCACAACACATTCTGACCGCAAACACTTTTCATAACCCTCTTATCTTTCAGATTTACCGGCATTTCATTATCTTCACTTAATAATGCCACTGTCTTTTCTTTTTTAGAGAGGGGATTATTTCCTATCATAAACATGTTGCAAATGCACAGCGTATTCTGTTTATCCTCAGCCAAACCTTTTCATATTACAAGTGAACGTAAGTACATATTCTCTACAGGTCAATTTATGCATTTTTACCCCCCCCCCCCCAAAAAAAAAATCGTGTAGTTAAGTAAAGTAAATCAAACTTTCACTATACATGTATTAAATCAAAGTAATTTTACTATGAAATTCAACTTCTTATACAGATTTTTCATTTTTGTTGATTTTCAAACATGTTTGATATAAAAGGGAAAAATTACTTGTTTCCAAAAATAACCATTTCTGATATGAAATCTGCGAAATAGTAATAGTTATGCTTAAGTATCAGGAAACAGTTTTAAAGTTTCAAAGTTCCATAGTAAGAGACAATAAGTCATAGTTAATTATGGCAAGGTTTTGTTAGGGTGAATTAGTTTATTTAAATTCTTCCGTGCTGCTTAGTAATCATAAAAATCTATTTCTACTTAAGAACATACACCATTTTTAAAATTGTATTTACTTATTCCCTCTGTAATTCAAAAGCTCCAATAACTGAAGAAGTTTTGTGCAATTTTATTATACCTGGTAATGCTGTACTCATCATCTGAATGAAATTTTGAGAAATACCAGCTATTACTATATTTTTTTGTTAATTTTTCTTTAAAAATACAAGGAGTTTCATCATTTGATATCTACGGAAAACTCCTTGTATTGTATGCTGGTGTTTTGTCGAAGAGCATATCTGATGGTACTATGATTTTAAACTAAATATATGGAGGAAATTATCATTGTTAAGGGAACATTGTGAACATGTACGTCGCGTATGATCTTGAAACTTACTTCAAATCTATCAAATGTGTAAACTATATATATAATGTACTTGAACTGTTATTTAAAAGCAATACGTATGAAAGCATCTGAGTTTGGTAAGTAAATTTTAACAAGCTTCAATTCCTTCTCAATAACATACCATAGTTCTATGATTGTATACAATCCAATTACAATTACAATACAAATTACAATTATTATTTTGTTCAAAAGAGAAATAAGATTGAACTCCTTTTCTCAAAAAATTTCATCATGCTCTCTTTGCAAAAGTATATGTATGGCAGAATGGCGCGTTCATTAGCAATTTGATCACATGTATAAATGTGTAGAAAGGAAATATGAATATCAAAAAGAATAACGCTCTTTATTGCTTATTTTTGTGCTGAAAGCATTGAGACTCGTGACGTGTTTTAGTAACATATTTTTTCCCGTCACTTATTCTTTATCCAGCTGTTTTAGTGATTTGTATTCTGTGCAGATAGATATGCTAGGGACATGACACCTTTGAGGCTGATTGTGGGGTACATGCGAGGGGGAACCACTCTGACAGCTGATATTGTTCGACACACGGAGGAGGACTTTTATATGTTTGAACCGTTACATGGGGTGTCACAGGCTATAAGACGGAACAGTTCAACACAGTTCCTAAACGGAACCGAAAGGTGGTTATATTTAACTAATTTTCGTATGAGGGATCTCTTTATCTCTGTCTCTGTGAGAATACCTCTCTGGCAACTCTTTAAAATAGAGTGAATCAGGAGATTTTTATTGATCTTTGCTTTTCAAATAAAATGAATAAACGACCAAACTATATATATTAATTATATAACTGATCAAAAGAAAAAAGTTTATTTAGGTGTAAAGAATTAATGCCAAAAAAGGTAAATGATACAGCTTTTTTTGGTTACTTTTTATAAGGCTAAGGTTTCCTCCAAAATCAAAAAAGGCCAAAGAGCTATGCCTACTTTATGCATAAAATGGCCCTGTATATAAACCAATTTATCCACTGACACATTATGACCCTTTCTCGACATCAATATAAAGTAGAGACTTGGCGCTTTCAGTTTGTATATAAAAGTTTCCTCTAAAGAGTCCAGGTACTGGAAAACATGTTGTGAGAAATTGCAATGTTCTTGAATTTTGCAGAAAACAGGTGAAATTGAAAACCTTCAACAAAGAAACAAAATATGAGCACACTCCTCGATCCAGATATTAAATCATGTTTTATAATCTTAAAGAGCAGTTTTTTCATAATATATTTGAACATTTGGATCGGAGGTTGTGCTGTATACGAAATATTGAAATATAGCATCATATTTTGGCCATTTTTGAAGAAATATACGGGATTTGTGAATAATGACGCAATTCATGACGTCATAATGCATTGAGTAGCAAGAAAATTACGTCATTTTTAGTAGAAATTCAGTCACCAAGTGTTCAAGTGATATTTATGGCCTTGTCGACTAAACCCATGCAGTTTAAAATTTTCAGAAATTTACAGGGCCAAAAAACGTCCTAAGTGGCCCTTGCTCTTTGATGATATTATTTGTAAACCAACTACATATTAACAAGATTATGCGTATGAGAAAAAATACACATAATATATACTTTTTATGCACTGTACGTTTTATTTTACAGAAAAATTTTCAGAGAAGAACAGCAATCAGTTTATTCAGAATTACTTTACTATTGGTTTACTTGCAATTTTGATCATATCGACATGGCATCTTTAACAAACCATTTCATCTTGTATCACACTCCAGAGCTAAAGGATTATTATGATTGTGTAAGTACCAAGAGGTCAGCGCAAACGAAAAACAAACTACGAATTGTCAAAATGTGTTCTGTACTTTTACGAATCAAATGTAGAAGTGCAGCAACAAGGACGATAAAAACTATCCGACTCTCGATATTTATGGCGGGACAGCTCCTAAAATGGCTTCCAAATTTGAAAATTATTTATTTACTACGAGATCCTCGAGGGATAATAAACTCTCAGTTTGAGCGAAAAATAAATGAAGGAAAAAATCTGTCTTTCTTGGCTAAAGAACTGTGTAACACTATTTCCAATGACCTTAACAGTTTTGACAATCTAGAGCACTGTCACCAGAGCAGAATGATGAAGCTAATTTACGAAAACCTCTGTCAGTATCCGCATATAGTAGTGGCAAAAATATACGCCTTTTTAAATGTTAATTATACAGCAGAGAGAAAATTATTTGTGCGAAGGATTATGAAAGGACCTATTAGGCGTTGCTCTTATTGCACAGATCGAGGAAATGCACTGAAATCTGCTTATAGGTGGATTTCTGTCATAAATGAAAATACTTTGAATATTACCAAGTTATTGTGTTCATTTATGTATTCCAAATTAGGATACGAGCACTTAGAATATCACGTACTGAACATAACAAGCGTTTCCTGGAAGCCATTGACATAGAACACGAATAAAGAAATGTACTTCAACATAAAAGAAATAAATGGAACCTGTAACATTTTTTGTAAAACAATAAACTGAGATCTCTAGGAATAATGTTCAATTTTTGTTTTTGGTAAAGGTTACGTGTAAAAGTTTGGACTGTCATTTTAAGCGATAGAAATAAAATTGTTTAAGGAAGCTTAATCCACTGCAGAATAAAGAGTTCTTTATGTAGGATAGTTTTACCCGGTAGTTTGGAGTGATCTGCCCTCAGAAGTAAGCTAGAACGAGCAGAATTTTACTGATCATGACTCAATTTTTAATGGATTTAAATGTTTCACATTATGTTTGAACAAGTGTGTCTAAGTAATTGAACACTTTTCCCAACATAAGTATACAATAGTAATAATTGTTCACAAATATAATGTAGTTTATTGTCTAAGAACATTTTTTCCTCGGGAAATAAGGCAGGTGACCTACGTTACAAATAGGAAAAGATATACCCATTATGTTTACTCTTATATGATGTCTAAGTCCGAAAACAACTTTCTTTAGTGTTAAGAGCTTCCTTAAAGTTATGAAAATGTTTATCAAGTGATACATTTTGTTGTCCATTCCGCAGGATAATATGAGGCTCGTCTAAGCACATAATGTTGATGACAATAAGTGCAGTTAGGATGCTTGGTATTGTATTTTAATTTCCGGTTGTTAGCAGCTGAAAAAAAAATCATAGGTTAGTTCAAATGTATCAGAGTCGCAAAATAAGAATTAGTCTTCGTGTACTTTCTTGGCAAATTATTTGATTCTCTTTTTTTGTGTGTCAATATGCTCTCAGACATGTCAAATCTGTTACTGATGATAGTCTTTTCCACTTAAAAATATATATTGCGTATTATATATATATATATATATATATATATATATATATATATATATATATATATATATATATATATATATATATATATATATATATATATATTAGAAAAATATGGAAGCAGAAAATTAAATATACATGTAAAGTAAGCCAAAGTAGTTCTGGCTGCTAAGTGCAAGTGAACTCCAGATTCTATTGATGCAGCTATCAAAAGAATTTTTTTATCCAATCAGAATCAATTATTTTATAGAAATTAAATGACATAAATATTACATATATTTCAAGCCACTTTTACTTAATAAAAACAATAAAATACACTGTATATACATGCAACACTAAGTCAAGTTAAAAGTTTTTCATAAGTAACATGAGCATGCAATTTTTGTTCACTTTTTGTTCAGTTTTAATGTCCATTGAATTATATGTCAGGGACTGCACCGAAAACCAGAATTCCCTCAACGATTTTGCTTTATTCCCTCAACTAGTTTCTGCATGTCTTATCATTTCCATCTTAACCTATCCGATCTCAAACTGAATACATGAAGAGACATAAATAACATTTTGTTATTTATGTATCTTGAATTGAAAAGGAGATGAACGAAAGTTCACAATACTTACATGTGCCTCTGGGTAAACACGTAAAATCATCGTACCGAATAAGCTTTTTTATAAGCCAAGCATTCCTGATTATTTTTAAATCAGGGATTATAATATATTCTTGATTTATTCTTTAACAATTTATATGAGGGAAATCTTCAGTTCTATTTTCACTACCTGAAAGGTAAGATGTGATAAATATCGCCATTCAGTAATGAATTAAAACTTTAAAATGTCGGAAATGAGAACTTCAAAATGTCGGAAATGAAAAGTTCGATATTTTAAAATATTCCGAAAATGAAATACAGCTTTTTCTCAATACTCTGATACTAAGTAGCATAAAGGTTTATTCTGGATTTTCGTTCTCCAGAGAATAAAACAGTTTATGTAATATGAAGGTGTTTATGAAAAAAAAAATCAGTAGAAATTTGTGTTCCCTTGTAATCTATGGTAATTGTTGACAGGAAAAACTCTATGATGGTCTATAACAAACTGAGTAAAAAAATGATGAATCAAAAAGGCAATGATGAAAGTGTATCAACTCGCAGGGCCGTCGCCAGTGTCTGAAACGATGGGGGGGGGGGGGGAGGGGGGTATCACCTTCTCAGAGTCAGACAGAAAAAAGAATTGTAAATGGGAACCAATTTGCTGGGATCTGATGCAATATAGAAGTTAATATTTTTTTTACCATGCAAATAAAATAAATAAGAAGCAGCATTTCTTTTATCAGATAAAAAATGAATTGTTTTTAAAAGGTATTTTCAAGTTTTTTTTAATTTAATTTAATTTTTTTTTTTTTGAAGAATTTAATTGAAGATCGTACACAACTCTTCCTTTTTTCCGACGCGGCTTTGACTGGATCCAAAATTAAAATTCATAGTACTGTACGTCTAGTCTGCATCAAAAAGAAAAAAAAAATAGAAATATATTGTTTTCAAAACGAATTACAAATATAAATAATCATGAACTTATACCTATATGAAATTACTGTTTGCTGAAAGTTACTAGTTTTTTAATCATCCGACAATTGTGCTATTCAGACAATCACTCATGTGTATCCCCCCTCCAAAAAAAAAAAGTTATAACAATGATGATAATAATAATTAGTAATAATGAATAACAAAACATAAGATTTAAAAAAAAAATACCAATTCCATGTATAACATTATACAAAACCATTGAAACAAGTCCCTTTTACCCCAGATCACAGATGTTTCTATAAGCATATTTTAACCTAGCTTTGCTACTTAATAAATCTAAATACATTTTAAGCATTTTTTGAGTCTTATATATTTACCTTATTTCAACCGAAATTTTTGCTAAAAAAAGTTTTTGCAATCGCAACTTATCGGACCTTACCGACAAGTGGAAAAAGTGAGCTTCCCGGAAAGTTTTAACGAGTTTTAACTTTTAGTGTACGCTTTCATCTAAGTCAGTAGAGCGTTTTAAACTTGGAGACGAAAACTACCCGAATGGAAAGGAAAGAAATTTGGTTTTACAAGGGTTAATTCCAATCACTTATGCAAAGTTGTCGTTTGTTCCTCTCTCAGACACCTCTGCAATGGGCTCGCGTCAAAATTTTTGACATAAAGTAGAAAACATGATATTCCAAGGATTATTTCAAATTATACTAATATTTCTATATCTATTTAGGAAATATCTACCTTAAAGACAAACATAAGCGCAAGGATTTATTTATAATGAATTAAAGCAAACGCACTATTTCTCGTGCTTATCACTGTGATATATGCGAGCCAACAACAGAGGTGAATATATGAGCCGACGGTAGAGA